TGTGCTCCCATGTCAACTGTCTGCTCTGCAAGGTGGGACAGGGCCCATGTGGCCTCACTGCCTTCATCGGGCTGGGGCTTGCTGTGACTGGCTGCAGTCCGGGCCCAAGGGAGAGCTGTTGTAGGGTTACAGTGGCCATCAGCACCATCAGCAAATAGGATTTATATTAGGCTCCTACTGATGGCCCTGGCTCCACGTCCCTGGACCCTGTGTCTTCTGTAAAATGTGTTCTATAAAATGGGTGTCGGTTTCCTAAGTGATGGCTTTCACTGAAGATACTCAGAGGCACTCAGTGCTGGTGGTGGGGCCTCTTCTGCCCCTCACAGCTTAAGCCCCTTGCCCTGCAGGCCATCCATGAGCGCATGAATTGCAGGGAGTATCAGGACGACTTGGCCCTTCGGGCTCAGAATGATGTGGCTGCCCGGCAGACAACGGAGATGCTGAGGGTAAGGCGGGGTCTTAGCAAGGGCCCAGGGACTTATGTTCTAGATGCTTCTTGGGAAGGACTAAGTTCACATAGTCTTGGAGGCCTACCCAGTCTTTCTTGTGGTTGAACCTGCGTTTCAAGGTGTGTCTTCCAGTGAGGGTGTCAGGTGTGGAGCTGCAGGAAGAGTCTGGCTGGGGGAGCCCTCAGGGACGGAGGAGCAGCTAGCCGGCCAGGCTCTGAGGAGAGTACACCGCGGAGGGCAAGGCCAGGGCCTTAGTAGCTACCCTTCCAGGTGATGCTGCAGCAGGGTGAGGCGATGCACTGCCCGCAGTGCCGGATTGTGGTACAGAAGAAGGACGGCTGTGACTGGATCCGCTGCACTGTCTGCCACACCGAGATCTGCTGGGTCACCAAGGGTCCACGCTGGGGCCCTGGGGTGAGTCTTCAGGGCACCAGAGAGCTGAAGGCGGGTGTCGTTACTCCGGACTCAACACTTGAGCCATCAGCCAAGTCTAACCTGCCATGTACAGCTTATGGGGAAGGACTGTTATTTTACTTTAGTGTTTAATTTCGAGGCAGGGTCTCATTGTGTAGCCCTGGCTGACCGGGAACTCACTTGTAGACCAGATTGCCCTCCAACTCAGAGATCTACCTATCTCTGCTTCCCAAGTGCTGGGATTAAAGGTGTGTGCCACCAAGCCTGGCTTAATTTTATGTTTTATTACCTGTGTGTGTATGAATGAGAGAGAAAAGAGAGGGAGGGAGGAGAAGGTGCCATGGCGTTCATGTGGAGGTCAGAAGACAGCGGGTGGAGTTAATCTGTCCTTCCTTCCGTCTTGGTGTGTCAGCAGTTTTGTGTGGCAAGACCTTTAATCTGCTGAGCCACCTCACCAGCTCAGGGGAAGAGTTCCTTTTTTCTTTCTTTCTTTTTTTTTTTTTTTGTTTGTTGTTTTTCAAGACAGGGTTTCTCTGTGTAACAGCCCTGCTGTCCTGGAACTCACAGATCGTCTGTCTCTGCCTCCTGAGTGCTGGGATTAAAGGTGTACACCACCACTGCCTTTATTTCCAGCTGATTTTCTTTTTCTCCTCTCAGTCTTTCTCACTCTGTAGTCTGGGCTGACTTGGCAATCCTCCTGCCTCAGCCTCCTGAGTGCTGGAGATTATAGCATGTGTCACCTTGCTGGGCTTGAGGGTTAAGAAATTTTACATCTCCAAAGTGTCTTTTAAGTTATCAAAAGGCCACAGTAAATAGTGCTGGAGCCCACCCATCCCAGGCTTTTGCCTCTTGTCTGCAGCCGTGCTCATGTGGAGGGCTCAAGGCTGGCTAGGCCTCGGACCTGGCCTGTGCAGCAAGGCTTGCTTGCTGTTCTGTTCGAGGGGGGAGCAAGTCAGGGTCTTGCTGGGTTGGGAGGGGGACTGCAAGTCCCCTGGCACTTATTTGCCACCTCTCAGTTTTCGATTCTTCCTCCACACAATGCAGAGTGTCAGAGCCTGTCTCAAATATGAGAGAAGTACTCAGTGGGTGCCTGTCACAGGTTGAGGGCCCTGTAGGTGGTGGCAGTGTGAGAGGTGGGTTGCACAGGTCAGAGCTGGTATCACCGCTGGCAGAGTTAGAGACAGGTGGTGCAGAGAGAACGGTACTATTTCCCTCCACCCAGGCACAGATCCACCTGCGGGTGCAACCCTTCCCTCTCTGGCCATGGAGTTGAGGGAGCTGGAGGGCTGGGATGGGGTTGAACAGCCTCCACAGCTGCCGCCCTCAGGCTGGTGTGGCTATTCTTTGCAGGAGGGCTTTTGGCAGCCAGTTTGTACCTTCAGGTGGGCTCTGCTTTGGGCTGACGGAGTGACTTGGGGATAGCCTGATGTTACCACCTGATACCCTTTTCTCTGTCCTCTAGGGCCCAGGGGACACCAGTGGGGGCTGCCGCTGCCGGGTCAACGGGATTCCTTGCCATCCTAGCTGTCAGAACTGCCACTGAGTCGAAGATGGCAGCCCTCAGTATTGATCCAGACCCACATGTGTAGCAGCTAATGGAGGACCAGGCCAGGGAGAAGGCCCTGAGCTGTGCTGCCAGCCTGCTTGCTGTTACAGGAGCCCAGCTGAGCTGGGATCACGTCGGTCCCCTGCCTGCGTTGCTCCGCAGGTTACTGACCAGACCTTATGGCCCTGAGCTAGATACCCTACCCTTACTAGCCACCAGCCTTAATTAAACACAGCCTTGGCCTAAGGCCTGGCTGGCTAGTGCTCTGAGCCTCCGAGTGACTGTTCTCCCTCAGCATGCTCCCTGAGGACCCAACAGCCTCATCCTTTGCCTTGCTGGCTTTCTGAGCACTTTTGCTGCTGTTGCTGCTGAAGGCCTGGCACCTCTTAGGGCCGCTGTGAACCCAAGCAGGTAGAACGGTAGGTCAGAAAACACAGCCCATGGGGTCCAGCTCTGTATCTCCTTTGAATAAGTGAATTAAAATTGTTTTCCAGAAAGGGAGGTGTGTTGTGCTTGAGGGAGCCAATGTCCTAGGTTGAATGCCATACAGGCAGGATGGGGAGCTTGGAACAGCACCTGGAGGTGATCTGTGGGCCCTGGAGGTTGGGGAAATCAGGCTGGCTCAGCCCTGGCACCACCATGCCTAACCCCAGGACAAGCACTGCTAGGGCCAATATCAGCCCAGACGGATGGAATTTACAAAGAAGAGCTTGAAGGCTGGAGGGATGCCGGGGAGGGAGACCACGGCAGCAGCTACCGACTGCGAGGAAAGGCTTGGCTGTTCTTTCTCTCTGCCATCTATGGTGAGGAGTAGCGCAGCTTAGGAACTGCTACAGCTGAGCAGGGAGGTGGTCCACTCTCAGCCAGGCAAGAGGGAAGTCCTTGCTGTTGACATCTGTCCTGGTGCTTCCCTCCACTGTGACCCATCCAGTCCCTTCTGAGATTGAGTGTTGCTGTCACCCCACAATGATCTTAACAGTAAGCATAGTACATGTGGTGGTCAAAGCCTCACCCTAGATGCTAGGCTATGTAGCTTTTCCGGGGTGAATGTTTTCCAGCCCCTGGAATGTGGAGCCCTGGATGGACCTATGGCCTTGAGTGGGATCACAACAGGAACCCAGAGAATGAGGATTTTTTTAGAGAGAAAGTCTGTGTAGCGCAGATTGTCCTTGAATTCATGGCAGTCTTTTTCCTGCCTTGGCCTCCAGGGTGTTGGTATTACAGAATGCACCAGGCTTGGCCTGACCAATACATGTGCCCTTATATGTATGCCCTTCCTTCATTACCTAGTTACCAAAATCCTACTCATCCTTTGTATTTGCTCCTTAAGTCCAAGGCTGACTTAAATCATCTGAACTCAGACTGCTCTTTAGCCTTCTACTATAAGCTACCAGAGTTTAGACTTGTCCCTGTTAACCCTTTGAGGCTCATGGCTGCCGTATCAGAGGGCATCACAGGCTGGTGGCCTATTGCAGTAGAGCAAGGATCAATGAAGAATGTCTACGTCCAGCATTGATTCCATGCTCCTGACTGGCTCCTCTGCAGGCGGAGGTAGAAAAGTAGGGACCCGGCTGCTGTGTGCTCTACTGCTGGGAGTGGGGCTGCTGAGAGACTGGACCAGTGGTTCTCAGCCTTCCTGATGCCGCCTCGGCCCTTTAATGGAATTCCTTATGTTGTGATGACCCCCAAATATGAAATTATTTTTGTTGCTACTTTAAAACTGTAGTTTTACTATTGTTAGGAATCCTAATGTAAATATTTTGGAGATAGAGGTTTGCTGAAGGGGTCATGATCCACAGGTTGAGAACAGCTAGGCTAGAAGCCGAGTGGGGCAACTCTCATGTTCCTCAGCAGACAGAAACCAGACATGATGGGCGGGAGTGCTCTTTCCACAACAGGCTGTTGGGTTCTGAACCCAAGTGCTGGCCTTCTGAGTTGGAGGCCTGCAGAGCACAAAAGCCCGGAGCACACCCTGTACCTGTCACTGGCTGTGACGGAGCCCACAGCAGCTGCAGGGCGAAGGCCACGCTTCTGTGTGACTGGCACTTAGGAAACACGGAAAGAGCATGCCCCCAAGTTCAGTTTCCAGCACCTGGGTCAGAAAGCTTACAGTCACCTGTAACTCCAGCTGATACCACCTTCTGACTTCTAGGACACCTGCAATCACACATACACATAATTGAAAACAAAATCTTAGAAAAAAAAAAAAGAAATTGGAATACTTTTGCTAAAGGTCCTTACTTGTGCCCACAAAGAGATTATGGATGGCAGGATGGAAGCCTGGATGTCAGTACCCAAAAGATGACTTGAGGTCACTGGACCTTTGTTCCATGTGCTGATTAAACTGCTTCTCTCGTCTCTAAGTTGGGTATCAAGTTAGGGAAACGCTAGCATAGCCCTTTCTGGCTGCTGGAGCCAGGCCTTTTGCCCTAAACTCACCACACCTGTATGTGGAACAGAACTGGAAAGGCTGTGTGCTGACAGCCAAGGTTGACTAGTCTACAGACCTCAGGCCCAGATCCCAGCGGGACCCAGGGTAGAAACTGGTGGGTCCATTTCCAGGCAAGCAGCAGAGCTACAAGGACAGGTGATTAGGAACCATGTAAGGGTGTTTATTTCATACAGGGCTCTGTACAAACCATCTACACATATCTTTACAGAATAAGTAAATACCTGAAGGTAAACTGACAGCGCTTTCTCCTCAGTAGCGGGGAGTCCTGGTGTGGGCACACACCACTCTTCAGCTCAGCACATGCCAGTGCCACCTGCTTGTTTGGATGCAGAATTGTGGCTTGGACCCTGGGCCCATGCCCCTCCCCTCAACCAACACACTCCCTATAGCTCAAGTATGCTAGAGGCACAGATGACAAGCTCCCGTGGTAGATTGACAATATCTGTCACTTTATCACTCTGGATCCTGGAAAATTCTCCTTTGTTCTGAATTAATCCCTGTGAATCACTCACCCCAGCTTGGTTTGGTTAAAGTGCTTTGTGTAACTCAGCCTGGACACCTCCTATGTGCTCTGGCTTGTGGCTGCCTGGCTTGCAGAGCGTCCCACTGCATACAGTGGGCACATAGGTCTGGACATGGTAGGACTGGAGAAGAGTGCCCAGGAAAGATCAGGAAAATAGAAGCATGTAAATGCTTCCCACTACACACTCTTTAAAGCAGCAAAAGGCACTTTTGTTTTCAAGCCAGAGTTTATATAAAACAAACCTGGCTTCACTTTTAACAAAGCCATCCTAGGAAGACAGAAAGATCCCATGGATCCCATGCACCCCTCCTGGAGGAGCCCAGGGGTAAGTGGGGCTGGTAGTGTGGGGTTCCTGCCAAAACCTGTCTGCATGCAAGTTTCCAAGGACATTCCCATTCTGAGACCAGCAGCTGAGGAGGCCAATACACGGGCAGGCCAAGGTGGGTGATTAGTGGAAAATAATAAAGTGAGACAGAAGTGGCACTGTGGGGCATGGGGCTGTTCACAAAGCAACTTTGGCTAAACTGAGCAGGGAACGCATCTCAGGTGCAATCCTGTCATCCCAGATAATCAGGAGCTGAGGCAGGAGGATCAAAAGTTCAAGGCCAGCCTGGGTAACTCAGGTAGACCCTGTCTCAAAAATAAAAACTACTAAAGTCTGGTGCTATTTATTCAGTGGTAGAACACTTGCCTCACAAGTACAAGGCTCTGGATTCCATTCCCCTCCAAAAAAGGAAAAAATAAATGTTAGCCCAGTACAAGCTCATCGCTGATAGCTTCTCTCATGAAGGAACTATGAGAGGGGAGGCTGGAGACAGCTCCACAGTTAAGTTACTGCTTCAGCTTTACTAGAGGACCGGCCTTCAGATCTCAGCACCCACACCAGACTCCAGGAAATCTGAAGCCCACTTCTGGCCTCTGTGGGCACCCACCCACACACACACACACACACCCACACACACACACAAGTAATTTTTTTTTTTAAAGTGAGAATAGTTGCTATGTTAGGTGTAGTATACAGTCATAAAAATAGTATTAAAAATGTCTTTACAGGTAATGTCACGTGGTTTGTAGAGAAAGAACAGGGAGACCCAGGCAACATCATCCAGGGGAATTAACACTCCTCTGCTAGGATCTCTAGGCTGGGATCATGAAATTTAACTCGAACCCAGCTCATGTCTGTCTCTGACTCTGACCAGCTGGCTCCCAGGCTATCGATCCCTCCCCTTGCTCTCATCCCAAGGCTGGACTGTGTCGGCAGCCCTTGCCTCTTTGTCTAGGATACACAGGACATGGGGTGCTGGGAGGAACTGGGCCCAACTTTCTTCTAGGCAGTGAGCTGGGTAGCCAGGTGCTGCAGAGCCGCCTCCAACAGTCAGAGAGCACTCAGGTCCACTGAGCCGTGTCGGGCAGCTCTGCCACCAGCCACCAAAACCACAAGACAAGCTGCCAAGGGTGGCAGAACAGAACACCCCTGACAGAAACCCTTTAATCACAGCATTTCCACCCTCTGTGCCTTTCTGGAAATGGGGAGAGCTTGGTGCCCTGGGTGAGGAAGTGGCTCCTTGGGCTGAGTTTAGGGGAACAGCTGCAGCTGGAACTTGGGGGCCCACTCCAGGGCACTCTTCACCACTGCCAGTGCCGCCGCTCCAAGTGCCACTGTGAGCCCCATCACTGCCAGTTTCACAAAGCGGTTGGTCCTTGGTTTGGTCAGGACATCTTTCGTACGAGCCTCAGGCCGCAGAAGTCCCCGAAACCGCTGCCGCAGCACCATGTCTGGCCTCTGCTGCGCCGAGGCCAGCTCAAAGTCTTTGAAAGTAGAGGCTGCCGTTCTGTGGATGGGAGCAGAAGGCGGTAGAGAAAGGCAGGAGACACTGAGCAAGCTGCTGCAGAGCAGGCCACTGCTCAGCAAGCTCTTCATGACACAGGCCTCTATGGCCTGTAGTGCAGAATCTGCTCCAGTGCAGATCTCTGCAAACATCTGAACCGCAGACCCTCCAGACAGGTCGGCCCTCCCTCCCGCCCTCCCTCCCTCCCTCCCTCCCTCCCTCTGCTGGCTTCCACTGCCCTGCTGCAGCAGCGCCTCCCTCACCTCACCTTTCAGCCTCCTGCTGCGCAGCCGCCTCCCTTGCAAGTTCCGAAGGGGGAAACTGAACAAAGAGGTCTCCGGCTCTGCTGATGAGTGTCTCATAGGGCAGGTCCTGAGGGATCTGGGACAACAGGTGGTGGACAGAGGCCATGTCACAGTCACAGTCCAGGACTTCCTGCTCCCGGTACAGCACAATCTGGCAAAGGCAGGCTTTGAATCAGACACAGAGGCACAGGACCTGGGTACTTGCTTTTCTTTACACACAGACCTAAGTCTTTGTAACAGACAGTGCTCAGCCCAAAGGTTTGGCAAATGCTATATCCCACTCCACCTATAATGTGAAAGACTGACCAATTCTAGCAAGTCCTCCCAGAATACCTGTCTGTTCAAGCGTGCCCCAAGCTCTCCCCATTTCCAGACGTCACAAGCTGACACTCTTAGGAAAAAGAAAAGTGCTACAGGAGACTCTGAGGAGCTCTAGAACAGCCTGACAGCCATCTTGTTTCCTTTAGACATCTCCCTGACAGGAGTGCTCACGTTCATAGCTGCTGAAGGCCACTCTCCATTCCACTCAGCACTTGGGAAGGAGCCCCACACTCTTCCATAAGCCACCCCTCTTTCAAGCCTAATCCCAGACCTCTCTCCCTTCCTGAAGCCTTGCACTGGCGGCAGACTGAACTGTCACCCGTGATGTCCACCAGCCAAACTGTTCCAGGTGCCACAGGGTCTCTAACAGTTGCACGACACTCTGGTGCTTTGAAGGGTCAGAAGTCTCAAAGTGAGAATAGCTGCTTAACCAACATTTCCTAAAACTTCTTAGACTGGGAAGTCGGTCACCAGCTGGGGAACTGCTATCTGTCCCCTTCAAGAACACTGATCAAGCTGGATGGGTAACAGTGGACCCAGTTGCGGCCTTCCAGTGTGTACCTACCACAGCTGCAAAGTAAATGGGCATGAGTGGGTGGCAGGCCAGGAAAAAGTCGTATAACCGCACAACGTGCCTGAAGTCCGACAGGACGTGCCCAAACCAGGTGATGAGCCAGCTGAGGGCAAAGATGGTCCCCACCTCAGCACTAGGAGCAAAGAAAATCCAGATGTTAGGTGCCCCGCCAGCTCATCCCATCCCTTTCTCTGTCTTTGTTCTCAAGAGCTAATGAGGAAGAAGTATACAGAAAATATACTTCTTGAAAAATTATGCTATTTAGGAACTCAGCATCCTCTCTCTATATATAAATATATATTTTTAAAATTTTATTTATTTTTGGTTTTTTGAGACAGGATTTCTCTGTGTAGTCCTGGCTATCCTGGAACTAGCTCTGTAGACCAGGATAGACCAAGCTGGCCTTGAACTCGAGATCTGCCCTTGTGTCCTCTGTCCGTCTGTCCGTGCCCCCCCCCCCCCCCCCACTGGGATTAAAGGTGTGTGCCACCACACTAGCTTTTTCTTAAAAAATACATCTTGGGGCTGGAGAGATGGCCCAGTGGTTAAGATCACTGGCTGCTCTTCCAGAGGACTTGGTTTAATTCCCAGCACCCATATGGCAGCTTAAAACTGTCTATAACTCCAGTTCCAAGGATCTAATACCCTCACACAGATATGAATGCAGACAAAACACCAATGCACATAAAATCTAAACAACAACAACAACAACAAAAAAAAAAAAAACCCCACAAAATCTTAATTGTACAACAAGGTGGCACATGCCTTTAATTTCAGCACTGAGGGTCGTAGGGCAGAGGCAGGCAGATCTCTGGGTTTGAAGCCAGCCTTGCCTACAGAGCAAGTTCCAGGACAGCCAGGGCTTTACAGAGAAACCCTGTCTCTAAAAACAAAACAAAGACTACAACGATGGCTGGGGAAGGAGCTCATTGGCAGAGTGCTGGCCTAGCATGTAAAAGGTCCTGGGTTCGATCCTTAGCATCAGAAAAACAAACAACACGTGACAGCAATACTCAAGTGTCCCAGCTCCCTCACCTCCCTGGCTGTTCTAATGTGCAACAAGGTCTCCTCCACCTCACAAGGGGCAGCTCTCTCAGAGATCTGCACTGTGGTTTCCTGCTGACATAGGCATATGTTCTCAGGCTTAGAAAACCCGTCAGTCGGACATGGTGGTACACAGAACGCAGAGGCAGGCAGGAGGATCTCTCCTGTTGAGTTCAAGGCCAGTCTTATCTACACAGTGAGTTCTAGGATCGTCACAGCTAAACAGTGAGACCAGGTCTCAAAAAAAAAAAAAAAACAAAACCCCCAAAAAACTCAGCTGTGGGGCTAGAGAGATGCTCAGCAGTTAGGAGCACTCGATGCTGTTGCTGAGGACCCGGGTTCAGTTGCCGGCATACACACTGAGCAACTCCTAACTGTCCACTCAGAACCATCTGTGATCCCAGTTCCAGCAGATCCAGTGCTCTCTTTCTGGCCTCCTCGAGCACCAGGCATAGAGGCAATGCACTTATATATGTACAGGCAAAGCACACGTACACATTAAAGTAAATCTTAAAAAGGATTTATTTATTATCTTTATACATGTGTGTGAGGCTGTGTGTGTTTATGAATCCCACACAGGTACCTGCAGAGGCCAGAGCATGTTGGGCCTCCTGGAAGTGCAGTTAAAAGCAGCTGTGAAGCACCTGATCCGGTGCCAAGAACTGAACCTGGGTCCTATAAAAGAGCAGTAAGCATGCTAGCCAGTTTCCCAGGCCCTTCTGTTTTGTTTTTTGTTCTACTTTTTAATGTTTTTTCCTTTTTTTTGAGACAGGGTATCACTATGTAGCCTTGACTGGCTTGGAACTCACTATGTAGACCAGGTTGGCCTCAAACTCAGAGATCTGCCTGCCTCTCTTACTGGTGTACACCATACCACCCAGCTTGTTTTTTTGTTTTTTGTTTCAAATATAGGTTTTTGTGTATCTCAGATTGGTTTCAAACTCATTATATAGCCAAGGCTGGCCTAGAATTCTTTGTATTATTTTATAGAAATTTATTTTTACCACTGGGTATGGTGGCACATGTCTTTAATCTCTGCGCTTAGGAAGCAGAGGATCATCATATGAGTTCCAGGCTGGTCCAGACTACATAGTAAGACTCTGTCTCAAGAAATAAAAATAAAGCTGGGTGGTGGTGGTGCATGCCTTCAATCCCAGTACTCAGAGGCAGAGGCAGGTGGATCTCCATGAGTTTGAGGCCAGCCTGGTCTACAGAGCTAGTTCTAAGAACAGCCAAACTACGCAAAGAAACCCTGTCTCAAAATAAATAAATAAAATAAACAAACAAATAAATAAATAAATGAATAAATACTTACTAAAAATAAAATTTTACTTTTATATTTGTATGTGTCTATGTGTTACTACATACATGTGTAGGTGCCTATAGAAGCCAGAAGGTGTTGGATTCCCCGGAGCTGGAGAAACAGGCAGTTATGAGCGATCTAATGTAGGTGCTGGGAACTGAAATTCTGGTCCTCTTCACGACCACCAAGGGCTCTTAACCACTGAACCGTCTCTCTAGCCCCTGACCTCGAACTCTCTGATCCTCCTGTCTTTAGCTTGCTAGTGCTTCACCACAGGCATGTGGCACCACATGTAGCTTTTGCCTTACTCTGCTAAGAATTTATGACATACCCACCAGATTCAAGCTCCTCACGCCATGAGCTATCATCCCTACATGCCCTCAAAAGCACAGTATCCAGTAAGTTCTCCAAGACCGTGGACAGGCCTGAACTGGTCAGACCTCTAATGGACAGAAAGAAGCCTGAAGAATTTAACACTAACCATTAATATGATGATGCAAACAAGCTAGATTTGTGAAGAAACAAAAAGCCAAAAGAGCATGGCACTGGGCTGCCATGTGTGTCTCGTATATACACAAATACAGACTCACCTCTGCATGAAGTCATGGAGTTCTGGGTTCACTTGGTCAATGATGGGCATCAGATAATTTAGGATGTGCTTGGTGTTGTCCATTGTGGGATCCATGAAATCCCTAAGGGAAGATAATCCAGTCAATGTACTTGGTCAGGTCCAACATTCAGGTTAGGGCTGGTGAATGGAGTGGGCTCTAACTATTCAGACATCTGGCTATTCTGAGGAGGCTGGCACAAAATCAGATGCACAGGTACCTGAGGTGGTGAGTAGATAATTTTTCTACCAGAGATGTTGCCAGCCTCTCGCCCACCACCAGCAGAAAAGTGACCACTATATCATGGTAGCCCTGGTAGTAGTGGAGCTGAGGGTTTCGATCCAAGATGAGGAGGATGATGTCGATCAGTTCTTCCTGAAGCCCTTCTCTCTGCTCATCTGGCATGCCTGGGGAGAGGAGATGCATCTGAATTGGCGAGGAGCCTAGTGACAGCAGATTAGGCCAGCAATGATTTTCAGAGAAAAGCGTCCACTAACAGACAATGAATTACAAAAAAGTTGGCAATCCTTGAAAAATATTGCTGCTGGCACCTGACACAGGCAAAGCCACATAGAAGGGGCCCCTGGCAAACACCTAACTAAAACCTTACAGTCAGCACGGCCAATCATGGGGAAAGACTGCACATGCCTCCAAGGTGCCACACTGCCACGAGCTGGGCACTTCAGTGGCTCTCCTGTCACCAGTATCACAGACATGACCCTGAACCTCCTGAGGAAACACCAAAGCAAAATAAGCAGAAAGGGACAGAGTGACAGGCTTGCCGCGCACACACAGAAACTGTCGACAGTAAAGGAGGCTCAAAAGGACTCGAGCAGCAAATCCATGAACCTGTACTTCTTTCTGTGATACAAATAAATGGTGAAAGGTGAACTATTCTGTGGAATAGACATTTTGGACAAAAGGGCTGCAATGGCTGTTTCAATAGTTCAGAAACAAAATTACCTGTTATGTATCAAAAGAAAGGAACAGGCAATTGATGTGGTGATGTGTGACTCTACAGGAGATCAGCAGAAAAGTATCTAGAGATTTCTTTGCCCTACTTCTTAGAATGAAATTGTGTAAGGAATTATATGAAAATTGAATCTGTTGTATTCTTCCCTAAGCCAAAGCCAATGTTCTAAGATGGTCTCAGCTGGAAGCAGAGGCACCCGATCAAGAAACCTCTAGAGTATAGGGTCAGTAAGCCACGACAGTGTGGTTCTTTGGTGCATTTGTTTTGATAAAGAATTATAAACCTGTTCTTCCTATAGTCAGAGCTCAAAGGGGATAAGGCCATGCTCAGCCCGTGTACCTTGGTCACCCAAAGTCAAGAAGGCTGGAGAGTTCAAACTCTGTATTTACAAGGTACCCCTGGATCTGAAAGTGATCTTGAACCCCAAGGCTCTGTTAAGGGAATTAAAAACCAAATCTGTTCCAATTCCTCTACTAAAAATCGATCCAGAAACTCCAATTCTTGCAATTGTATCAACTGGAGAAAATGGTCACTGGCAATCTTGGCTGCTCAGCAGAGTTCTGCCTTAGCCCGTTTGAAAAATGAACAAACGCACTGGGAGATGCACACTGACTGAGGTGCACACGTGGCCTTGTGGAAAGCTGACAGGAGATGGTGGTGGCCTGCCACAAAGGTTTCCACAAGGATGGTGCACAGCAGCAGGTCAGTGTGAACTGGAAGGCCGAACTGCTTGGTATCTCTGAGACCCCATGCGCAATGATGTTAATTTTGAGTTCCAAGAATGAGTTGTAAATAAAAATAACTGAGGTAATCACTTAGGGGAAGTGAAGAATATCAAGCCTTGATCTCATGACATATTTTAGAAGAATATCACTAAGCACAGATTTCTTATGCTCTTAGCTTAGCTTTCAGTTAAAAGCAGAATTTATGAGAGAAAACAGCAAGATAAAGGCCCACATTAAACTAAACAATAAAGGTTCAAGGTAAGAGCAAAGGTCACTCCTTGTCCATATTAATTCCACCTTCTCAAAAGAGGTACACTGTAAAGATAAACAAGGAAAATAAAGAAAACCAAGAATTAAGTGAAACCATGAAAGCAGCGAGAGCAAGAGCTACAGCCTGATTGAGTTTCTGGTTTAAGATTGGTCAGGCTAGTCCAGAGGACATGAATGCAAAGGGTTTAAAATGCCAAGGAGGAGCCACCGTGCAGGAAGTCACAAGCCAGTGGCATAAATGCAATGAGTAAAGGACACAGGAAAACAGGGAGGTACCGGCCCTATGTCACCTCAACCGGACCAGCAGGGCAGGACAAGGGGACTGGGCCATGGGATATGCTGTATCATAACCACACTGACTGGCTACCAGCCTGTGGGAGCCTCATGAGCCTCCCTCCCAGGAAGAAAAGATCCAAGTAGGGCAGAAGGCCTGTGATACACGTGTCCCAACCAGAGCTTGCTTCAGCTAAGTGTGACAAAAGGGTTAGAGGCGCCCCTATCTCTTCAGAAGTCAGGTAGAGTTACATGAGAAGAAAGCTAGATTATACAGATGAGGTTTGCTACTCAATTCCTTCCATTATGAAAACAGAAAGTATAGTCATTTTCTTGTCCTGGAAAGCAAGAAGCAATTTCAGAAACATACTCTACAAACATGCAGGGAAAGGAACCCTCCATCCATCACAAGGGACCCAGGAACCACAGATGTGAGGTAACACTTACAAATGAAAATATTAATAGTTCCCATTAGGGCACAATTCCAAACCAACCTGCTCTCCAAAGCCAGACCCCTTGCTCTGCCAATCCCTACAAAGCTCCTCCAGGGCACAAGGGCAGCCAAGGATGCAAGGGCTGTTTCTCTTACTCTCCACTCTGCGCCACAAGGACTTCACAGTGAGGGTGCCCACTGGAGCGCGTGAGAGCAGGGTCTACATGTGTGTTTGCTTGCTAGGAAGGAAACAACCCAACCTTGGCAATCATCAACACAATAAGGTGATGCAAAGGGATGGAAAGCCTCACTCCAGATGTGGTAAGTCAGGAAATCTGCTCACCAGGAGGGAAGCGCCGAAGAGACCGCCTGACATCTAGCAGCACTTGCTGGTAATCCTTGCTCATGTGTCGAAGATCCTTCCCTGTCAGAGAGAGAGGAACATGGTATTATTACAAAGAGGTCTGGGAAACCAGAGCAGGAGTCAATTCTTCTGGGGCTTCCAGTATAGTTCAGTGGCAGAGAGTTAACCTAGCAAGCTTGATGCCAGAGTTTAGCCCCAAGACCACAGAGCAAGCAAACAGTAACAGAAACTGCTTTCTGTGTCATAGTTGAGACCTAAAGGACACACAGAGCAGCCTTTTCCTCAAGAGGACATCACCTACAATGTAACACCTGGATCTGAGCACCAGGTAGGGGCAGAAGCCCAGCTCCTCAGTCAGGTGCAGTGCTGGCTTACACTTGTAATCCCTGTCCTTGGGAGACTGCGGCAGAGGACTGCCTCAGGTTGAAGCCAACCCAGGCTACTCCGCAAGACCCCATCCAAAATAAAAATTTAAAAAGAGAGTGAAAAACCAAAAAAGGATGGGGAATACTAAAAGGAGGGAGGCTAGGGACACAGTTTAACAGTAGAGTGCTTGCCTAGCACATGCAAGGCCCTGAATTTGATGCCCACTGCCACTAAAAACAAAATAACCAGTAAGATACTAGGTAAGCTCTAGTTTGTTCTAAACACAACTGTTACATGCAAGTCTGATGAGCACAGGGTGGGAAGAGACTGTCCTGAGCAACGTAAGGAAGGATGGGAGGGGACAAAGAGGTCAAGAGGTCCTGGCTACTGTGCACTGCCACTGTCCTCACAAGAAACTGCCCCACCTGTAAAGTGAGGTTGTTCTTGTCCATATGCACCTCTCAGGTTACCATGAGAACTGACTGGAATTATGAACATGGCACAGTTTGTGCTCAGCACACAAGCACTGTAACTCTACATGCAGGGCTTTGAGCATCTGAAGATATGGGCATGGAAGTGGTTCTGGAGTGAAACTACACTGAATGCTAACAAACAACTGCACATTAAAACACCACACTGCACCTGAAAAGTGTGTGTGTGTGTCTGTGTGTGTACATCACACTGCACCTGAAAAGTATGTATATGTGTGTGTGTGTGTGTATACTGCACAAAGTGTGTGTGTGTGTATATATATGTATATATATATATTATATATATCACTGTACCTACAAAGTGTGTGTATGTATATATATACAATATACTGCACCTACAAAGTGTGTGCATATATATATATATACACACACACCACACCACACCTACAAAGTGTGTGTGTGTGTGTGTGTGTGTGTGTGTGTGTGTGTATTTTAAGGATTTAATTTTAGCCCGGTAATGGTGGCATATCCTTTTAATCCCAGAACTTGGGAGGCAGAAGCAGGTGAATCTCTGAGTTCGAGACCAGCCTGGTCTACAGAGTGAGTTCCCAGGACAGCCAGTGCTACAGAGTGAAACCCTGTCTCATAAAACAAAAAAGCATTTATTTTTATTTCAAATGTATGGATGGGTGTTTTGCCTGTACATATGTCTATACACTGCATATATGCAATGCCCAAGAAGGCCAGAAGGGGGGGTCAGATCCCCTGGAATTTGAGTTAAAGACAATTGTTAGCTGACATGTTAGCGCCGAGAATGGAACCTGAATCATACAGAAGAGCAGCCAGTGATCCTAACCACTGAGACATGTCTCCAGCCCAGATCTTGAACTCTTTTTTTTTTTTTTTTTGGTTTTTCAAGACAGGGTTTCCCTATGTAGCCCCTGGCTGTCCTGTAGACTAGGCTGTCCTCAAACTCACGGAGATCTACCAATCTGTCTCCTGGGTGCTGGGATTAAAGGTGTGACCTTAAACCCTTGATCCTCCTGATGCTACCACCCAGTACTAGGATTATAGGCATGTGCCACACAACTAGTTTTATACAGTGCTAGAATTGAACTTTGTACGTGCTAGGCAAATGCTCTTATTGACTGAGCTGGAGAGATGGTTTACAGATATAAACATGTATTTCCTTCACCTCAAGCCAAGTGCTGTGTAAGTGTTGATTTTCCTTACAATCTACACAGAAAGCTATCAGAGGAGCCTGTGCAAGACTTATATGCTCATACCACACACACACACACCCCCGCTTCATCTTAACATCAGACAGGGGCAGTGTGGAATGACAATCCAGGACACGGCACAGGACTGCCCTTCTAACCCAAAGCCCACTGCTCCCAGGCAGCCAGTTTCAAACATCTGTAACATTGGTAACAAGTGGCAACCCAGCATCCACTTGGCACCACATCATCAAACTATTTAGCACATGAGTCATTTTAATCACATCCAGTAAGTATGTGGCACATCCCAGGGGCACCAAGATTTGCCAAATGAACAGGAGAAGCCCCGGCGCACCCAGCACACAGAGGTGGCAGGGTGGGCACTGGCTCTAACACTTGTTCTCAGTTGCTCTCAGAACTCCCTTAACTGCATGGCTTACAGATTAGTTAAGGAAGAGCTTCTAGCAGAATTAAAGAATTCTGGAACTCCAAGGAATCTTAGCATTTCTGTAGTGCCCTCAGAGGCCAGAGGGGACACCAAATCTCCTAAAACTGGAGGCACAGACGGTTGTTAGCTGTCATATGTGTGTTGGGAACTGAACCCAGGTTCTCTGCAAAAGCAATAGTGAGGCCAGCAGCCACAGTGGTGGCGCAAGCCTTTAATCCCAGCACTCGGGTGGATCTCTGTGAGTTTGAGGCCAGCCTGGTCTACAGAGTGAGCTCCAGGACAGGCACCAAAACTACACAGAGAAACCCTGTCTTGAAAAAACAAACAAACAAAAAAAAAAAAAAAAAAAAAAAAAAAAAAAGCAACAAGTGTTCTTAACTGCTGAGCCGTTTTTCTAGCCCCCTAAAATAGGCGTTTTCAATAAACTCCTCTAGCTAGACAATATTTTAATCCCTAGTTAAAACACTCCACCCCAGGCTTTTACTCTCTTACTTGACTCAGGCGCTGGCTCATTGGAGTTGACATTGAGGAGCTTGGGCCATACTTGGCACCTGATCTCATCAGTCAGGAGGCCTCCTTCACTGATAGCCATTCGTCGGAGGGCGGCCACGTCGGTGGGATCACTGTTCAGGGCCTGGTGTATTTCCGCCACCTTCTTTTTCCTTTTGGCATTAAAGTCTAAGAAACAAACAGATAAACAGTGTGTGTGCAGAGGATGAAACACACACTTAGCACGTGCAGTCTTCTGCTTCAGGTCCCTGTCTTCTAATTTGGTTTGATGTAACTCAGGTGCCTCCTCTCAGACAACGTGGATCCTCATGCTTGCTTCTTCTACAACCTACACATATTTGTTGCAAAATGTGGACTCCAAATAAGTAGCAAGGAATTATAGTTTTAAGAAGTATTCATTAAGTAGAAGCTATTGTCAATGTTTTCCTGTTCAAACTTCAGAACACAGGTGTCTCAACGTAAGTGTTCTTCTTGAGTTGGGTAGTACAGTGGTAGAGGACCTGCCTAGCATATTAGAAGTACCGGGTTCAACCCCTAACACTGAAAAAAAAAAAAATGTTTAACTCTACATTTTAACAAAACCATATGCAAGTCTCCAGCCGCAAGCTAACAGAACTAGTAAAACACCAGAATTGCAGGGAGACGTTTTCAAAAGCCAGATGTCAAAGGAGTGTAGGTTCCTATCGTGTCTGGTGGTTCAAGAGGCTGTGACATTGTGTGAAAGCGAACAGATTGCCAAAAGCCACATTCTGGGCTGGAGAGATGGCTTGGCAGTTAAAAGTGGATAATGCATTCCAGAGGGCCCAGCTCAGTTCCTAGCACCCACATCAGGCAGCTCGCAACTACCTGCAACTAGTTCCAGGGGATCCAACACCCTCTTCTGGCCTCTGCAGGCACCAGATACACATATATGAAGGTAAGCACTCATACACATAAAATAAAAATTAAAAAAAAAAATTGAAGCCACATTCATCTTTGGCAATCAGAAAGTGTTTTTGTTTTGTTTTGTTTTTCTGTATATTTGTGTTTTGTCTGCATGTCTGTGTGAGCACCTCATCAAAGCCTGGGGCCAGTGGAGTCAGAACAAGTTTCGGATCCCCTGAACTGGAGTTAAGGATAGTTGTGAGCAGCCACGTGTGTGCTGGGAACTGAATCCAGGCCCTCTGCAAGAAGTGCTCTTAACTCCTGTGCAGTCTTTCTAGCCGCTGTCTTTTGCTCTCCATGAAGCCAACAATAACCATGACCTAACTTCTGATCCTCCTGCCTCTGCCTCCTGAATGCTGCAAGAGAGGCCTGTGCTGTCATACCTGACTTTATGCAGTGCAGTGGACTGAAGCCAGGGCTTCCTAGCACCCTACCAACTGACCTACATCCCAGCCACAGAGTAGCTCACATTCATATGTAAGAAGAGTATGTTATTTACAGCCAGTTTATAATGCTGAAATATTCTTTTAGAAGCTAGGTACAATGGAGTGTACCTTTATTCCCAGCACTTGGGAGGCAGACTCAGGAGTAAGTATCCCAAGTTCAAAGCCAACCTCTTTCTTCTACATAGCATGTTCAAGGCCAGCCTGGGCTATAAGATCCTATTTTAAAAAACAAAACAAAACAAAAATGGCTTTTTATGAGGAGGGGGAGAATTCAAGACAGGGTTTCTCTGTGAAGCCCTAGCTATCCTGGAACTCACTTTATAGACCAGGCTGGCCTTGAACTCAGAGATCTGCCTGCTTGCCTCCCAAGTGCTGGGATTAAAGACATGCACCACCATGCCCGGCTCAACTCTTTTTTTAAGACAGGATCTCAGTGATTGCAGGTTGGCGAGGAACTTACTATATAGACTAGGCTGGTCTCAAACTCGCAGAGATTTGCCTGCCTCTGCCTTGAAAATTAGTTTTTAAAAAGTAAGGATGAGCATCTGAGACTGCTGTCTGTCTTAGTTTTCCCATTTCAATAGTACAAAGCCTCTTGGTTCTCAAGTGGAACGTCTACTTTTATAAACAGCAGACGACACTTCTTAGATTTTATGGTTACCTGCACCACTGAGAAAATAAAAACTGTAAGAATTTTAACACAAAAGCACCAAATGTTACAAGGCAGTACACTATAATTGTCAAGAAAACTTGCATGTAGACAGTAAAGCCAAGAGTTCAAAGAGAAGACTACAGTAGGTCAGGCCAACCTACATAGGCATACACACACCTAGAGAACAGATACTAGGGTTCATGTAAGGCGGACACCCCCAGAAGGGAGGTTGACTTAAGTGACAGAATCACACAGTATCTTAGATTCTGGAAGAGTTACTGAACAGATCACCTCAATAATGTCCTATTCTGAGACAATAGTCTACAACGGTGTTCATAACAAAGGTGGCATTATTAACACCAACTGGAGTTGTTAAGAGTCCTGGTGACCTACCTGTGTGAGCTATGACACGTGAGCCACACAACAGAGCTTTGGAGTCACGTGCTATTGGAGGTGAGACAGGAAGATGACACAGTGATCTCTGGCCTAGGTAACCCTGTTCTCTTGCAAGACTGTTGGCTATTGTCCCCAGTAACACGAGAGGAGGACCAGTGTCTGAGATTTTCCTGGTGTAAGTCTAGCCTCTGAGCATAACTTCTCAGAGTAAATTCAAAATCTTCTCTTCACTCTCAAGACTGGCCCAGGTAGGATGTTACATTAAATGGCTCCTTTACCTAGAAATAAAAAACCCAGGCTCTTCTCTCAGTAAAGGACCTCAGCCAAATGTTTCTGAGGTATGTCAAGCTCTTGCCTCAGCTGTACCTCCCTCCATGGCTCCCATTCACTTAGGAAGTCCATCATTTAATGGGTCTGTACGAACACCGAGGTGAAGGATGAACCATGGTTCCCTTATAGCTCCTGAGCAGCTCACAGCAGGAAGGGACACAGTTATTACATAGGGTATTTGAAAACCCTGAAGGATGACAGAGGATAGACTATTTCTAAGGTAATGAGGAAAGGCTTTGCCATGAATTGATTCTGAAAACTATCACACTGAAGAGTATGTCAAAGGCAAAACACTCCTGGCAGAGGAAAGAGTGTGAGCAAAGACATGTCATGTAAACAAAAGATCATGGCCAAGAAACAGGCACAGGGAGAGAGCAGAGGAAGTTACAACTGGAGCTGGGGAGTGGAACCTTTGGGCTGGGTTCTTTCTGCAGGCAGCCTGGGCTTCACCTGCAGGGCTACATCCTTCAAAAACAAGTCTGCATGCTTTCCATGAGGATCAAGAAGAATAAGCAACTTTTTTAAAGAAATTTTTTCTTGCAGTGCTGGGGATGAACTTGGGGCCTATGCATATTTCACAAGTATCCCTACCTACCACAAGAGCTCCGCATGCTGTGTGACCTCAGCAGCACAGGCTGATAAGGAAACTCAGCAGGAGCTGAAATAGTTTCCAACAGTAAGCACAATATAAGCGCCATGTAAAACTTTGGCAGCAGGTACCCTTGCACACTCCACACACCACAGGGAAGAAGAGCACTGAGGTCACAGTCCCAAAGTCACTTCCAAGTTCTGTTGACCCTTTGCCAAGAGTATGGAAAAGCCATGTTTCTGCCCATTCCCAGTGAGTATTCAGTGATGTTGGGAAAGAACATAGTTTGCAATCTCCTGAATTCCCAAGGGGTCTAGGCAAAGACACAGCCATGAGTTAACTAATTCTAAACCAAAGCATGGTTCCAATACTTACTTCTCCCTGATGTTTTCAGCTTTTTGCTATTTTTTGTTTTTTAAGACAGGGTCTCTCTTTGTAGTTCTGGCTGTTATGGAACTTGTTCTGTAGACCAGGCTGGCCTTGAACCCTGCTTCCTGAGTCCTGAGATCAAAGGCACGAGACACCATGTCTGGCTGTTGTTTTTGAGACAGGGTCTCACTACTCCTGGCTGTCCTGGAACTCAGTTCTGCCTCTGACTCCTGAGTGCTGGGATTAAAGGTATGCCCACTGAACCTGGCTAACCCTCAATTTTGACTATGTGGAACTCAAAAACTACATGTGTAGTCGAATAAATCATTTATCTCAGTTTCTGCTCGTCTGGAGAAAACTGCCCCATAGTAAGTGGCATTACTTTTCCCACACCATGGTGTGGCTCACTGCAGAGTGCCACACAACTCTGTAGATTTTCTGGCTTTCCTGAGAAGAGTACGCAAATGTGGATTTGGAGAACTGTCTGGCCACTTGGATACTGCCTTCCTAAACCTTAACCTCCCAGTAAGTAAGGTTGGCAGGGCCAGTGAGATAGCACAATGGGTAAAGGTACTTGCATACAAGCCAGATGACCCAAGTTCTATTCCAAGATCTCACAAGGTGGCAGAAGAAGTGACTCATGGGAGCTGTCCTCTGACCTCCATATATACTCAGTAGTCACAAGCTTAAAGCTTGGTGGCGGATGAGGAAGTCATTTTTTTACATACGCCACCCCTACACATTCTGTCCTGAGCCCAATGTATGGCATATCATTGTAATAAGAAAGAAAAAACAACTCAGAGGACTCAAGTGAGCTAGTGGTGTATAAACCGCACAGTGAGGCCAACAGCCAGCCTACACAATAGAGCATCAGGGTCACACTGGACAACTGATTCACAAACGTCCTATTTATCCTACAAAGAGAAAAGTCAGCTACCCTTTCTTTAATGGGAGAAAGACTGAAATGCATGCCTACTGTCTGTTTTATTTTAAGGTAAATTCAATTAACAATTTCTTTATGCTTCACTCAGAGGAGAGGTGTATCATATGCTCCTAAGCTGATAGCTACCAAATTCCTTTATGGAAGAGGACTTGGCTATCATCACCATGATGAAATGAAATGATTGTCCGAGGTCTTTTACAAAATATTACAACTACTATAAATAAACCCCAGATGCCTGAAAAGTAATTGATTCAACCAAAGAGAGAGATGATAACGGCACTACTTTGGCCTGCTCTCCAGTGATTTTTCTTTTTTTCATGGCACTGGGGCTGGAGCCTAGGGCCTTGTACATGGCAGATAAATGTGTGCTAGTACTGAGCTAAGCCCCTACCCCTAACATGCTTATTTTAAAAGGGCCACTGAAGCAGAAGATCTTTTTCTTCTCCCTTCCTGTTACTGGAGAATGAACCACAGGCTTCACATACTGTAGGCAAGCAACTGCCTACTAAGCTATAACCCTACCCCCTACCTACTCTGTTTTTGAGACAGGGTCTCACTGTGTAGCTATGGCTGACCAAGAAGAACTCTCTCTGTAGACCAGGCTGGCCTCAAACTCACAGAGATCTGCCTGTCTCTGCCTCCTGAGTGCTGGGATAAAAGATGTGGACTACTATGCCTAGGTAGTGCTAACATTTTATAGGAATATTATTCTGGTTTGGGTTTTGTGGTTCTGGTGAAATGTTAACATTTTAAAATCCAATCTAACTTCTGCTTAAAAGACGGTAAAGCTTTCTTGAGACCAATCTGGTGTACAAAAGAGTTCCAGGCCAGTTAAGGCTACATATTGAGACCCTGTTTCCCAAATCCAACCAAACAAAAAATGTAGTACTGTGCTTGGTTCCACAGCACATATACTGGAAAAACACAGACAAGGAAAATAACAGTATTAATAGGTGTGGCAGTGCATGCCTGTACCTAATACCATGGAGGTAGAGGCAGAAGATACAGACAATGCTATTCTCTGCTACAAAGTAAGTTCAAGGCCAGCCTGGAATCTATGAGTCCCTGTAAGAGGCAGGTGGGTCTCTGAGTTGGAGGCCAGCCTGGTCTACAGAGTGAGTTCCAGGACAGCCAGGGTTACACAGCGAGACGATGCCTTGAAAAAAACACACCCTGCCAACAACAACAACAAATTAAAAAAAAAGGGAAAAGAAAAAATACATTTGAGCACCATGTCTGTATAAACCATGGACAGTGGACCATGAAAATCTTATTTTCATGGTAAAATTCTTGTTAAAAGAAAATCAGCCCAAGTTCCCTTTTTCTTTGACAGTACTAATTCATTTCTACAAAACATAACTAAACTATTAGGAATTCATTAAGTACTAACATAAAGATAGATTGAAGCAGGAAGACAGTAAGTTCCAGGGTAAATCATCAAGATCCTTTGCAAAAGAAACTGTAAAAAGGCCCTGGCCGTGTAGCTGGGGGGGGCCCTTGGTCCAGCTTCTAGCACTTCCTGCCCTCTTCAAAGAAAGAATACTTAACTGAATGGAGAAAAACAGAGCACACCAATCTGGCCATGAGCTCTACAAAAGATAACTTTTAGCATTAGTAATTTGGTCACCAATATATTCGAAACCAATCTAAACTAAGAAAGATCCTCTGAATTCCCTTTCCAGCCAGACAAGCTGGAGGGCCTGAAGTTTTGCAACCAAGACACAGCTGCACTGCAACAGGTCACGCGACCCATGTCACAGGCACACTGGCGCTCACTGGCTATTATGCCGTAAAGACAGATGCCACACAGCCACAAGCCAAGGTTGTTACAAACACCAAAGAGCCCAGGAAAGTGGCTCCCAGACTGAGCCTCAATGGCGGCCAGTTATCAGATGAGAAAAGAGAAGTAACAGAAATTGAGTCTGGAGAAACAAGCCGTGGGATCTAGGAGCATCATCCAAACCTATGGGGGGGGGGGAGAGATAACAGAGTCGGTTCTCACATGCGCACCACCTGTCAGAGGACGCAAGTGGAACAGCGCCTTCGGATCAGCTCACCTGGTACGGGAATTCTTACCAACAAGCAGCCACCATATGGGAACTGCATTCCAGAACACACGCACAACAGAACCAAGACTTCACAGAAACGATTTAGACGGCAGAGTACAGAAAACAGCACTGCGTTGTACACAACAGAACACTGGCATAGGTGGCCGAGGGGAGGGCCGGAGAGTAGCTGAGCAGGAGGGAGTGTGGGGTGAAGTCTCACCGGCGGGAGTTTCTGGAATCGGACAGTGGCGACTTTGCCCGAGTTTGTGTGTGTGCGCGTGCAGAGGAGAATTTTAGGGTCACGAGTGCAGCGTGGAGGCCGGAGCTCCGGCGGCCGCCTACCAAAGGCAGCCGGCTCTGCGGACGTGGCGGGCGGCGGCTGGGGCGAGGCCCGGTTCCTCATCCGCCGCCGCCCCCCTCAGGCCCGGGCCGCTGCGCGGCCCTTGCCCGTCGCCCTCCGTACCTGCCTTCCCGGTGCCGCGGTTCCAGCTGCCCGCGGAGCCGTCGCCCTTTGAGGACCGGAGGGCCATCCCCGGGGGCCCGGGCCCCAGCCCGAGCCCCGGCTGGCGGCGGAGCCTGAGGCGCGGCTCCCACCGCGGTGTAATCCCAGTTCGGCCGGGGCAGGCTGGTCTCCGTCGGCCTGCGACGCGCAGGCGCGCAGACAGCCACGCCCCCACGTGACCCACGTCTTGGTATGGGCGGGGCTGGGGCGCGCGCATGCGGCTTGACAGTGGAAAACAGGTGCGGAGGATGGAGTCTTAGAACTTTGTTGTGCGTGCATGCTGGGCCACATCTTGTCACTGCTTTTGCTTTTATTATCTGTGAAATAGTTGTGAAAAGAAAATACTGAACTCGCGAGGCTGGACACTGCCAAGCTCCAAGGTTATACGCAGTCTTTCGCTTACCAAGGACTTATCCTCCGGTCATACCCTGGCTCCCCGAGCTTAGCAGGGTCGCCTTATGCAGCTCCGCTGGCTATGCCTGCACGACGCTGGGGTAGGGACACAGTTCATGGAGATGGTTATGAACTACCTCGCTGAATTGTGCAAAGCAGTGATCTTTTGGTCAAAATGCTACTGGACGAATTGGGTCTTTGGGCTCCTCCTCACCTACAGGTTTCTAACTGGACACACACTCAAACCCAAGCTCAGTGACATCTGAGGGTCATGCACAGACACTGCCTCATCTCCCAGATCCCTAGTGAGGATGCTCCCATGAGTCTAGTTGTTTGATGAGCTTCTTCTCCAACCTCACTGCTACTATTTTCACCACCTCGGTTAGGGCATCCCCAGAGACTGCCTCACCTCCCAGATCTCCAGGGAAGATGCTCCCATGCGTTTGTTTGATGAGCTCCTCTAGTCTCACTGTTATTAATTTTTTCTTCTATAAGTATTGGCCCCTCTTGGTTCCATATCCTTCTCTCTAGCCCAGATTCCAAGGTTCACACTTCAATCTCTCTCTCTCTCTCTCTCTCTCTCTCTCTCTCTCTCTCTCTCTCTCTCTCTCTCTCTCTCTCTCTCTCTCTCTCTCTCATTCTGTGTCTCTGTCACTGTCTCTCTGTCTCTCTGTGTGTGTGTGTGTGCGTGTGTGTCTGTCTCTTCCTGGTCTTTAAAGACAGGATCTCACTGTGTAGCCCTGGCTGTCCTGGAACTCACCCTGTAAACCAGGTTGGCCTCGATCTCAGAGATCCACCTGCCTCTGCCTCCTGAGTGCTATGACACCACCACCACCACCTGCTCTTCAAGACCTTTTTAAAGGGTCTTCCCAGAGGATTCCTAGCCAGCCAGTCTAAGTGAGCTCCAAGCCAAAAGAGGTGGATGGGTATTCCCGAGGTTGTCCTCTGGCTTCATGAAAACACACACACACACACACACACACACACACACACAAACACACACACACACACACACAAAATGTCTGGTAACGTTTTAAGTAAATGTATGGTTTTGCATTGGGCTTCATTCATAGCTGGCTTGGGGTTGAATACTCCTGGACTCTCTAAAGGATAAGTTACTAATCTTCTGTGAACCACTTTGCATTCACTTAAGACCAATCTTTTTTTATTTTTTAAGATTTATTTATTTATTTTATGGATGAGGGCTCTATATGCATGTACACATTTATGACAGATGAGGGTATAGATCCCACTATAGATGGTTGTGAGCCACCATGTAGTTGCTGGGAATTGAACTCAAGGCCTCTGAAAGAACAGCCAGTGCTCTTAACAGTTGAGCCATCTCTCCCACCCCTGAGACCAATCTTAAAGAAAAATGCAGTATTTGTGTCAAAAGGTCAACCTACTCCTGGTTATATGAAGCAAAATTTTTGTTGATCATTTTATGGAAAGAACATACATACTGACAACACGATGAAATAAAAATACTGGACATGGCTTCTCTTCCCTCCCCCCAAAACACACACACACACACACACACACACAATTTAAAGGAGTATTTCCTTGGGAATTTTCATGAGTAAAAGATTTAAAGGAGCATCTCCTGGGAAATGTGCATGAGTAAAAGAGATTACTTTGTGTAAACAGATGTTTTCTGTCCCAAATGCCCAGTCCCAAATAACCAATTCAGAGGCTTAATATTAATTATAAATGCTTGGCCAATAGCTCAGCCTTGTTATTAGCTAACTCTTAAATTTAAATGAATCCATATTTCTATTTATGCCTTGCCACGTGGCAGTACCTTTATTAGCATGACACGTTTATCTCCTGCTTCCTCTGCGTGTGGCTGGCAACTCCTGACTCCACCCTTCTCCTTCCTAGCATCCTTAGTTTGGTCACCCCACCCATATTTCCTACCCAGCTACTGGCCAATCAAACCAACTAATTAATTTAATTTAAACCAATTAAACCAACTCAAGTGATAAATCTTTACAGTGTATAAGAGGATTATTCCACAGCAACTCTGAAGTTATTTTGACTTTTAAAATTAATATTTAATAAACATAGAAATTCCCAATTTTAATTCTTCCTTAATTTCAACTGACTGAAATTAAAAATTTTTTAAATGTTATTCCTAATCTCACAAGTTATAATAATCATTAATAAACTCAATTAATTAAAATTATGTGAACATTTAAAACTTCATTTATAAATTTAATAATTCCTTTTTGTAGGCTGTGGCTCAGTGGCAGAGCACTTATCTAGCATGTGAAACCCAGATTGAGTTTAATAGTGTTCTGCCAATGAAAAAACTTTTGTTAAGTATCCCAATTTTCTAACAAATTCTTTCCAATGCATTTCCCCCCCTTTGTTGCTTGTTTATGTTTTGTGGTCTTTAAATTGTATTTTTACATACAAGGTCTCCAGTGGCCAAGGCTAATTTCAAATTGCTATGTTGCTAAGGATGTGTTATGCCCAGATTGTGACCCCCCCAAAGAGACCACCGAAGACCTTGGATGTCCAGAATGCAACAGCAAGGTTTATTCTGCAGATA